CTTGCCTCCCTTCTTGTTGATTTTCTCTCCAGGACGTCTTCTGTGATGGTAGCAAGAATGGTTCCAGTCAATGCAGGCACCATGCATTCCCTGCGGCCTATCCACTTCCTCCACGCCATTCCGAAGGAAGAAAGAATTCTTTTATGGTACAGATAGGAACCCACTTGTACATATGTTGCCATCAACCTTTCCAAAATATTTTCTTTCTACTTGAGCCCTTGGTATCAGCTTTTTTTTTTTAAGCTCCTCTTTTTCCTCTTCCTGCCCCTTCCCTCCCACAAGAATGTACATTTTCACGAGAGTAGATAGTTCCCTCTTCCCTTCCCTCTCCTCCGAGAGCTGCTGGTTTCAAACTGCTGATCTTGCAGTTAGCAGCCCAACACTATGCCACCTGAGCAAGCACAAAACGGTTGTTCCATCTAGTGACCACTAGATGGTGCCAAGTATTCCTAGACAAAAGATCCTCCTCCAAGCCACACCTAGGTTGGATGTCCTATGGCTTGGTGCAGTGGTCTGGCATCCTCACTGCTCTGCTTCGGAGGAAAAGACACCGGAGTTTCTTCAGGTGACTTGCAGGACAAGAAGAAGTTGGGGACCTGGCCATATTTTCTTCCTAGGCATACTTCACCAAGGTTCCAACACCCTGCTAGCACACACTACTCCAATCCGTGAGCCTTCCACATTCAGAAATCATAAGCTGAGAAATTGGCTTGCACTCACATCATACTGTGTGCAAATTCATCAGAATAGGTGGGCAGGTGTTGCCATTCAGCAAACATCCATCCAGGGAATCACCCCTCCCCTCTCTCTGATGGCACCAATCTCTGTCCCTCTTGAAACCAAGAATAGAAACCTTTTCTTTCCCCCACTCCTTTTCTTCCCTTCTGCCTTCTCAGGAAGTGAACAGCCTCTCACCACAAATGCTGTTCATCCCACCAGGTCGATCATGACTCCGTCCATTTTCTTCCTACTCAGTCTTCTGTGTAAATGTCCTGTGGGAGGAGTAAGGGGTGAGAGTCCTTGGAGACAGGGATTATGCCACCTACTCAGACAATTTGAGAAAGGCACTGGCCCCATTGTGGCAGCTATTTTAGAATATGAGGAGCACTTCTTTTGCAAAATTGTGTTGGCTATGTTTGGTCTCTTGAATTGCCATATGAATTTTATGATCAGCTTGTTCATTTCTAGCAAGAATCCAGCTAGAATTCTGATAGGAATTCCATTAAATCCTTAGGGGGAGAAATGTCATCTTAGCAATATTAATTATTCTGATCCATGAACACGGGATACCTTTCCATTTATTTATATCTTCAATTTAAATATCTTTTCGTTTTCAGTTTTCAGTTTAAGTTTTATACCTTGGTTAAATTTACCTTATATACTCGTGTATAAGCCGAGTTTTTCAGCATTTTTTAGTGCAGTTTTTGTGGTAAAATTAGGCACCTCCGCTGCTATTTGGTCAGCTTATACTCAAGTATATACGGTACTTCTAAGTAGTTTACTCTTTAGATGTTATTGTAAATGGAATTGTTTTCTTAATGCAACTGTCTATTTTTATGTAAACTAATGCTCATGTCTTTTGCCCCTTTTTCTATTGGACTGTTTGTCTTTTCTCCCTTACATTTAAAATATCCTTTATGCATTATAGATAATAACTCTTTATGTATGATATATATTATAAACACTTCCCCCCAGTTGCTAGTTGTGTTTTGATTTTGTTTAAGGAGATATTTTTCCTTTGAAAACGTTTTTGTTTTAAATATGAAATTTATAGGTATTTTTCCTTTTATCAAATGTGAATTTTATATCAATATTAAAAAGTCATTCCCATGGAACTGTGTGTGACCTCCTTCCTGGGGGACAGACAACCGAAAAGTGGATGAAGGGAGAC